CTCGTACGGCATGTTTTGAATGGTGCATCTCCAAAATGCTTCGGCGGTGAAGGTATTCCAGGTTGCCTCCAGACCTAGTCGGGTATGTCAAGTAGGCTAGCTGATTTGCTTAGTGACAGTATTTTCAAGTTTTTTTCTTTGCGTGTCTTTTGTCTAAAATACTTTTGTTTTGTTTCTCGATGTCTATCGTGTGGCCGAACACCTCGTTCTTGTTGCTGGGTTCGATGCGGGCGCAGAATCAGGCGCAGCAGTCAGCTAGGTGGGCGCCAGAGCGTGGGGAATTAAAACGTTCGTGGCGGCAAACGCCGCGGTTTTTTGCAGCTGTGTCAGAGCGATTCTTGGTAGAAGCATGCGGCAGCACCCTGGCATTTCAAGGTTTGGCCGGTCATTTTCCCTCACCCGATTCAGGCACAACTAGTAGAGCGAGGGTAGTTGCTTACGCAGTGTTCGCATATCGTCATGTTTTTCTGTGAGACACGAGGCGTTCAGCATGAGTGCCAAAAGCTGCCAACGTACATACTGCGTGTTATGTGTCTGCTGGTCACGCGACCAGAGGTGCGCCCAGCATTGTTTGCAATGCGGCAATTTTGCGCCACCCCCAAACAACGAAACTCCTTGGCAATAGCAGCTGTATGGACGACACGGCCTTCAGAATTCTTGTCCGGCACACTGTGGAGTTGATTTGGTGACGTATCGTCGTCTTCCATATTGGACACCTGTGAAGCCGTGAGCATTTCTTAAGAGGCTGCGAGCACAGTGCGATATCCGTGTCGGTGTGCCGGCATGGCACCGGCCTGGGGGCTGCGGGGAGCCTACGTGTTCGGAAGGCATTTTAGTCACTGAAAGAAATGACAGCGGGTTCACGTTGCTGCGAAGCGGATCATAGGCATTGGCTTCCAGTGCTTGACCGATGTTTTCTTATTGGAGCCTGCGTGGCGAAAGAGGTGCCTTTAGGTGCTCTGGTCTGGCGTCTGATTTCCATTTTGTCATGGCGTTTCCCCGCCTAGTTTTGCCACTTGGTGCCGGATGAGCCGTGTATTTTGAACTTCGCACGCCGTCGTTTGCAGGGCTAGCTGATTGATCTCAGCGGCTGCGGGTCGTCGACAAACATTGAACGTTGCAAATGGGACTTCCGTTTCCTGTTGGAGCGGCGCATTGAATGGAGAATTTGAATCGCAGCGGGCACGCAGTCTTTTGTAAGCCTTGGGGCCTTGAGTTTTTGGATTGCCAGTTTTGGCAACCGGTCAGGACACTGCGACTCTGCCCGGGCTCTCGTTGGTGCACGGTCCCGTTTAGTCATCTAAGTCTACCGGGCCCTGGTGTTGTTGACTTTTATAATGTTCTCTTTGTTTCTTGACAGCCGCCGACCCCTGCCAAAACATAATTCTATTGCAACGTGTTCCAAAAGCACAGCTTCGCACGTGTCAGCAGGAACAGTTCAAATTCCACCAGTGCAAAGCATCAAATGCTTTACCTTGGCAATGTGGAGTGGAGCGTGAGCAGTTCGGCCCAGACGCCTGTGCGCCGCAAAGCCGCGAAGGAATCGGGATAATGCCCGGCGGGCTTGTGTATGACAGGCTTGTTTTTAGGAGACTTGCGATGTTCCGTTTCGAGAGCCCCAAGGCAGCCAAGCTGAGTCTTCTTTTCCCTCGTGTGTCCAACAGGCCGTCTCGAAATCTTCCATGCGCCAGCGCCATGAGCACGAAGACGCAAGCCTTGCCTTTCCCAACATGCGACAGCTCAGCGTTGCACATAGTGGAGAAACACCATGCGGCCCCCGCGGGGTCTCGATTCGGCTGTGCAAGCTGCGCGCAGATGCCCAGATGGACCCATCCAAAACACAAAAAAGGGTGCCCTTTCGAGAGCCTTGTCCATTCGAGGGCTGAGTCCTTCCTGGAGCACCCGATGGAGTGCAGCAAGAGCCCGAGCGCAGCGAGGTGCTCATCGATCTGGGTCACACGGGCCTATATTCAATGGGCGAACGCACTCCACCACTCCCTCATCAAGTTTGACGAGTGCCGCCTGGGCCAGGTAGTGAAGTCCACGACATTGTCCCTCAGACAATCCTGAGGTCCGGACACCAACACAGCCGGCGGGCAGGGAGGTCGAACTACGGGGTGAAACTCTTCCCCTCCCCTTCAGCCATGGGCACGCCATTGCATGGAGATCTCGGATCGGCCCACCACCCTGCCGATCACGCACGACCCAAATCTCTCCGACAAGGTTACGTACCTCCAGATGGCCTTCAAACAGCGCCCTGGGGGTGGGAAGCCCTCACTTGGACGGCTGGCCCCGTGGACTCGGCCATTGTCCAAAGCAGCAGCGCTGGGGGCCAAGATCTGTGTCCTCACGTCGCCATGAAGGGACAAACTCCAGGAGTCGCTCTCGTTGGGGGACGGGTCACACCCTGCTGGAAGATATCAGGGAGATCCTGGCGCCAGGGGCAGGCCGACCAGCGGAAGGCCAACCCTTCTTCCTGGACATCTTGCACAGCCTGGCGATGAACATTCACCAGTTTCCTCAGGATCTGGAACAAGGGGTCCCACTGGGGGTCACGGACCCACCCCTAGTCTCGCCGGGCATCTGGCCATTCAAGAAGGAGCTAAAAGGGGAGGAGCCGGAGTTCCCACGGGCCGGGGTAACTACCCCTCAGCGGATCACTTCAGTGAGCTCATCCGTAGCACATTCCTGGAGGAGGTCCCCATGGGCATGGTAGATGGCCCTCTCACCAAGGTAGAGGCAGCAGCGCGCTGTGGCTGCAATATGGAGGATCTTTGCCCAGGCCCCCTAGCGGGCATCGACGAAGGGGACAAGATCCGCACCATCTACGATGGCTCGGTGGGCGGGGCCAATGACACCATCAGGAACCAGACGGTGGAAAGGACGACGGCTCCGACGGTGCTGGATGGGGTACAAGCTCTTCATTGGCTACATGCGGCAGCTGAGGAGGGACCTCCCTCTCAGGGTGCCCCCGGCCCCGAGAGGGAGGTCGCTAAACCTCCACCCGAGGGCTGGCAATGGCCGGAGCCGGGCGCCAGGTGGGTGCTGCTCAAGGCGGACGTCACCAAGGCCCACCGGAGAGTGAAGGTCCAGGAAGGACTGGCGGTTCCAGGTGGCCTCGCTGGGGGAAGAATGGTGGGTGAACAAGGTAGGCACATACGGCATGGCCAGTGCCCAATCCTACTGGGGACGCCTGGCAGCCCTTCTACTCAGGGTCCTCTACGCACTTTTCCCTCAAGTGGATTGGAACTTCGTCTTTGTGGATGACTTCCTGTGGCTGCTTCGCAGCAAGGGGGCAGTGAACTTGGCGGTGGCGCTGTTGGCAACACTCCTGGCCTTGGGCACCCCGCTTAGCTGGAAGAAGACACATTTGGCGGAGGTCAACACGTGGCTGGGCTTCGTGGTCCACCCGAACATCCCGCAGGTTCTCATGGCCGCCAACAAACACATCCTGGTGATGGAGGTCTTGCAGATCATGGTGGAAGGGCAGGCGATGCACTCAAAGGACATCGAGAAGGCCCTGGGCCGCATCCAATGGGCAACTGCTGCATGTCCGCTGGCGAAGTCGATGCTTCAGCCACTGTGGGCCTGGAAAATGGCCACCACCACGGTGGGGAAACCCCCTAAGGTGGTCAGGATGCTGGCGTTCATGCTGCGGTTCCTCTTCAACACGCCCTTCGTCCAGTACTCCCCTTACTTGCCGAAGTCCTCTTGGTGGGGTTGCAGCGATGCTAGCGCCTCGGATGAAGGACTGGCATTTGTGGGAGGCTGGTGCTCCAACAAAGTGGAGCCGGAGAAGAAGGAGGTGTACTGGTTCCACGAGCAGATCCACGTGGAGGAGTACCCGTGGGCATTCAAGAATGGGGATCCCAAGCGGAGGATTGCGGCTCTGGAAATGCTCCTCTGTAACATGATCCTCACGCACCAAGGCCCTCTGTCCTCCCGGGTCCGACTCCCGGTGGGCAGTCACAATCAGGGCAACGTCATGCTCAACCTTGGATCCAAGAAGCCCCACACCGCGGCTATCCTGATGGAGCTGGTCTTCCTGCTCCACACCCATGGCTGCTCGCTGGCGGCCAACCACGTGCCCCGGGAATTCAACCAGTGGGCCGATGAGCTGACGCACCCAGATTTCTCGGGGTTCGACCCTTTGCACAGAGTTCCTAAACAGGAACTCTGCGAGGAGTTCATTTTTCTCCCGCGTCTCCTGAATGGAGATGCATTTGATCTTAGCGTGGGCCCACCCATGCTCCCGTGACCGGAGCCGGTGGGTGACTCACTTCCCCTGGTGGCAGTCTTTTTTGTGGCCTGGGTGCCCCTGGCCCCGGCCCAGGGGCGGGCGCTATCAGTCTGCTGAGTCCCTGGCACCAACACATTGCTTGGATAAAAGAGTTATCGCTTGCTTGTGTGGTGCCGTTTGGTTAGCTTACATACACTATGTATTTTTTCTTCAAGCAAGAAATTAATGAGGTTGTTTAGCGGGGTGGGTGTAGTAGGGGGGGTAAAAGGGTGTGCAAAGGGTGGGGGGAGGGGGGTAAATGGGTGTGGACTGTTTTGAATGAGGACGCTACAGCCTAGAATGATTGTCGCGCAGCAGGTGCAAGCTATGCGAAGAGTGTGTCCTTTGAGGCTGCCCTAACCTACATGCTGCACCTTGGACACCCGGATGTGTGTTGTCTTTGGTTTGCGCAATGGGAGGTTACGGACCTGAAACTCCCATGCCAGTTGGACCCTCAATGAAGATATCGGTTGCGTCTCATAGTGCTTACGGGTTGTCCCCTGAATCGCTGGCAGTCACCCCCTATCGGAAGACCAGTTCAGTTTTTGGAAGTGAGATGAAGTGAGGATTGTTTCATGTGCTGAAATATGCACATACAGTACACATGTAACTGTATACGCGTAATGCAACCGTATGCATATAAACCTCTTGATGGACGTATATGGACGTAAAGAGGCGTGTATATTACAGTACCGCACAAATGGCCAGTCTCGATCTGGCCATGCCGCGCGCGAGAGCTCGGCTCTTGGGACTTGGGAGCTTCCGTCCACTTGAGGCGCGGCGGGGGAGGAGGTGGCGCTGGCGGCACTGGATTTGCTGTTGCCCGGCGCCCAGATGCGGCGTGTGCTAGCCCGTTTTTCGTGAGAGTTGTGGCGGGTGGTCTGGGACGAATCGAGAACTGGCCAGCCTTGTCCTGGTTGCAGGGGACCTACAACCATAAAGTGGTTGCAACCAGGGCAAAGCTAGCCTCGCAGGCCGTTCAAGTGTGGTGGTTGCCCGCATCTTTTTAAAGGAAGGGTTCCTTCCCCATGGCCACTGGGCATCTGACGGGTGGTTTTCAACATCACCTGTTTGGTTGTTTTCAATCAGCGAGTTTCCTTTTGGCTGGGCGGTGATCAAAGGGAACATGTACGGATGCCCCTACTATTTTGCAAGTGCGCCAACAACACGCAACCCCAAACCGGGTGTTATTTTTTGTGATGTCTCTGGTTTCAGAGGGCAAGAGCAAGCAGAAGACGAAGTTCCGGAAGGCTGCTAAGGTTTGATTTGGAGTCGGGTTCACATCCTCAAAACTGGTTCGGGTAAGTGAAGGTTGAATCAGTTTCCGCCAAAAGAACAGTGCGCGCATCCGCCCTCTTACATTATTTCGAGTAGACCCCTTAGCACCAGGCTTTGCGTCAAGAAAATGGGGTCGGAAAGGGGCCACCCACGCCAAAGGAAATTCTCAACGCGCAATACGATATATATATAATATAATATATATATATAATATAATATATATATATAATATGGTATTTTCACATATTTTTGACTTGCTCTATCTTTGGTGCATTTTGCTTGGCTGTTAGGACTTTAACTTTTTGCCAACTAATGGGTTTTCCACTAAACCACTAAAAGTTTAACATTTAGCAGGGGAGCAGAAAGCAACCGAGCTATGTTTGCGTTGCGCCTCACACCAAGAGCACACCCGCCTCATGAAAACCGGTCGCTTCCAGCCGAAAGAAACGTCTACTGACGCAGATTGTGGAGAAGGATGAGTGGTGTGGTTCCTCGTCTCCTTTCGCGTGGACCGATTTGGGCGTGTCAATTTTAAGGTCGCACCTTATAAATGCTGGTTTTCCTTGTGGTGTCCCTGTAAAAATGTGCCGGCTTAAGACACCCGCTTCGGAGCGGTCTTTTCCAGTTGCTTCCAGGATTTCCATATTTCACCCACTAAAAGTTAGTCACTTTTAGCAGGGGATCTGAGGACAGCCCAGGTTAGAACCATGGCTACAACTATAGTTATAAATTGGGTAACTGGGGTTGGTCCCCTTACAGGGTTTTCTCCTTTCTCCAAACGCGCCTTTTTTTCCGCCTTCTTGCCAAAGCAGGGGGACAATATATTTCAAGAAACCCTTAGGTGGTGGTTTGGATCGGGTTGGATTGAATGGGTCACTTCTTGTGGAGGACCCATGCGAAGCCACTCATCCAAACCAAACCGATTCGGCTCCAAACCACCCAGAAAGCCGATCAGTGCAACGGGATCCCTCCATTTCCAGAAATGTTGGACCTCCAAAAGGTGGCGATCGTCTCACCGGCAAGCACCAGTCATGTCCAACCTTTTTCGGGGTTGGAAGTCCGGTGACCCGGGGAAAGCGGGGGGTGGCCCTCAGTGCAACCACCAAGCATCACATAACAACCGGACTCCAAACCACCCGGCTCCAAGGCTCCAAGCCACCCATCAGAGTCGGTTAAGCGTTTTCGCTTGGTAGCTCCCGGCCATTGCAATCTGGTCCCTGAGCGTTTTGGATCCTTTTTGGTTGGTTGAGTGGTTGGGTGTCCATGTACCTTTTGGTTGCTTTGGTGCTTGGGTTTCCACATATTTTCCCTTTTCAGTGCCTGGGTTTCCACATATTTTCCCTTTTTAGTGCTTGGGTTTCCACATCATTTTTTCTTTTTTAGTGCTTGGGTTTCCACATCATGTCTTTCCCTTTCTCGATCCGAACAGGGACCATCCATCCCAGATGCATCGAACCTAGGCGCTTGCCCTTCTCGCTGGCGGAGCTCAAAGCGGCGCAGCTCCCCCCGCTGCTCCGCGTGGGGACCCCGAGACCTCTCCGCGCGCGAGAGCCGCGCGCGCGAGCGCGCGAGCCCAAGGGTTCGATGAACCGGGTACCTTCCATTTCCGTTTGTGTAGGAATATGTTTTGAGACTTTCCTGTTAGTTTTAACAGGAATCAAGCACTACTAATAAACTTAAGCAAATGGAAGTTCCAACCATTCTTTCCAGGGATCCGGCTTTCTAGAAAACCTCCGGAAACCCATGGAAAACGGATCCGATGTTTGAAAAGAACGATGGTTGAACAGAATGGGGAATCAACCCCTAGAATCAATTCGGCGCCTCTTTTTTTCACGACGCGAGCTCACCGAGCCGAGGAAATGAACGAGCGAAAACCCATGCAGGTCCGGATCCAATTATTAAATCAGCTTTTGGGATTATAGGAACAATTGCAGAAGCACATATCAATTGTGTGCGAATCTATGCTGTGGATGGTTGCGAAATCATTTTCGAAACCTTGGAAACAAAATATGTATATATATATATACGTTGGGGAATCGACTCATTCCGTAGGGTTTCTGAACGGCGTTGCAGGATTTCGTCCACCCACCGGAAGGGACCCGAAAATGGTGGACCGCAGAATTTGGTGGGGAGAAACGTGTCCACCACTCGACCACCACTTGACAACTTGAGTGAGGTGTTTCCCTGTTCTCAGATGTGATGGCATGTCATGGCCCTGCCATAAGCTGGGGGTTCATACCAGAGCAAGGCCAATGAGTGAGTAGATGCTCAAGCCAGCACTAGTCTGGTGCTGAAGCTTGGTCCAGCATTACAGGGAAGCCAACAAAAACACCACAATCCTTCGGGTTGCCTGTTTCCTCCATTTGGCAATGGGTCAAAATCCCGCACCCCCAGTGAACATCCCAATCCCCACCATTTTTGTTTTTCAAAAATGGCTGGTGCACCTACCCCAAAATGGTACCATTGGTTTTGACCCACAGCTACTTGTGAATATGTGCCCCGCAAACTATAAAACCATGTCCAGTTATAGATTCCCTTTACAACCAACAGGGCAACAATGAAACTTCAAGCAAATGGAAGATTTATCGTTGTGGCTTAATCTTGGGAAATAAACAAGCCCCGAAAGACCAAAACCTGCCGGTTCTCAGGGCATGAGAAATGGAATGCTGTGTCCTTTATAAGCGAATCCCAAACACACACAGATTTTTCTATTTCCTTTACAAGGGAATCCCACACACATGCATACACCCGCACACCCACACAGTTTTCTTCCTTTGGCGCCCGTGTTTCACCCCTTTGGCATCTGCGCCCCCCGCGGCACCCGCGGCAGGCCCTGCGAGTGAAGCGCTCCTCGGCGCAGAAGCCGATCCACGAGCTGCTGGCGCGGAGACCCGAGGGACGTGTTCTGGGGGGTGGGACGTCTTGGGGTCCCCCAGCAATTGGTGCTAACTTTTCGTGTTTTTCTTTTTGGTTGGGGGAAGCCCCTAAAATAGACCGGGAAAAAGTGGGTAGCAACTTATTCTAAGCTCGCTGGAGGACCTAGCTGCGAAGGGAGATGACCATTGACTAGACTTGGACCATTTTTGGTATCGCAGAGGGAGTCGAAGGGCTTGAGGAGCTGCATTGCATTACGGCATGTCGTATTATTTTTTCTCGGGGTTCTTTATCATTTTTAGAACTAGAGACCTTTTCAGACCACTGTTTTTGACATCGTTTTTAGTTCTTTGGCTTTTGGGTTCGTTTCATTTTGGTGGGCTGCAAAGAACACATTTTTTTTGTTGACATAACAAGGGTTGGAGAGCTGTATAGTGCCTCGGATGCCTAGGAGACTGGTCAAACTCAGCCAAAACTATTTCAGAAGGTTGTGTGGAGGTTACTAGAGACCTGGATCGCCAGTTGCAGTCTTACCAGCGACTGCGTTTGTTTTTCCATGTAAAGTGCGCTGGTCACTTTTTCACTTTTTGAGGCATCGTTCCCAAGATGGAACCACCTAGATGGCCAAGTTGCGGCTTTCTCAGTCGCTGTCGCTGGTGTTTGGGGTAAAGTGCATGGAACAAAAACAGCAGCAGGCGATCAAGGCAGTTGAGAGCACGGCCAAGTTCTTTCTTAGCGCCGAGGTGAGGCTGCAGGCTGTCCAGGGCCTCAGACACAAAAAGCTTTTCTCCACCGTGTGCGTGCTTTTTTGAAGGCTCGGTGCCGTGTGAAGGCGAAGCACCACAAGGACACCCCCCAAGTTTGAGGGTCCGAGTTCCTATGTTCAGACCCCGATTGGCTGAAATTCAGCGCCTGCGGCGTGGCCCCAAAGTTTTGCAGGAAGCTGGTATTGTGCTTTGCCAGATGAAAGCCTTCTTTCTGGGCGTTTCTGAGTGCTGTCCTTTTGGCCGGAGCGAGAATTTTACGGCCAGCACGGCCAAACCAGGCAAAGCCCGTGTTCTTGATGCGTTGTTTGCTTCTTTGCTTTCCTCTTTGGTTCAGTCCATTTTTAGCGGGCACAGAAGAATTCTTGAGAGCGACAGCGAGTCCCTCTCGAGGTGTCCTCATGAACCTGTGCATGGCTTGTCCTTTTTTGATGCACAAAAAGTGAGGGGGTTCCCAGAAAAGTTCGAACTTGCGTTGGCCAATCCACTCAGAAGGTGAGACCATTTTTGGGACCCGGTCCAAGCCTTTCCAGTGGAGTGAGGAGAAGATGAACAAGGGAACAGCGAAGCAACCATAGGTGTCCATTTGATCGGGTACTTGGGATAGAACTAGATGGGCAAGCCACTGGTTGAGATAGGTGTTATGCTTATTTACCAGAGAAAACAAACATGTCTTCCAAAAGGTCACCTACTGTAGATGGACGAAATCCTGCACCACCCAAGACTCCCTAGAATGATGATTCCCCTGTAACTACCAACAAATAATGGTTTCAACCCTGGTTTATTTCGTAGTGCGAAATGGATTTCGCAACCATCCACGGTATGGAAGCAACGGTCTCGGGCCACCCGTTGGAGTTTTCGGAGCCTCAGCTTTGAGCGAAAAGCCCATCCCTCGGATCGGGACATCTTCGCCCGCTTTCCGGGCGAATCGCGACCGAAAAATGCTTCCCCTTTTGGGGTTCCGAGTTTTGAGGTTCTGGGTCCAAACTGGGCTGAGAACATAAGTGGGTGTGGCTCAAAATTTACGAGCTAGGGTTACGCAGGTCTTGGTCTTGGTTTCCATTTACCTAGGGGCCATTTTTGGGTACATGTTTTTGAGCCACAGCCAAGTGGCAAAATAGGAATCGTATGTAATGGTACATTCCTTGAAGAATGATGGTATACCCAGAGGGTCCAAGTACCTTCTAGGGAGGTACTTAGACCCCTTTTTACACCCCAAAAGCCATTCTGATGAGGTACCAAGGGACCCTCTGGGAAATAATGGTATTCTCCTATGACGAAATTTAGTGTTCAGGTACCAACCGAATCAAATCTAACTCGCGTTGGCCCTTGCCCTGAGGCCAAGTCTGGCCAGGCGGGCTGCGAACGTGGACTCTCATTTTGGACCAACAAATGGGCGGCGTCCTGTGAATGTCCCGTTGTTGGATCATTTTTGTTTAGTGTTTTTAGGTTTGGTTCTGCAAATCACCGGTTTTTGGCTATCATACCAAGGGTTGGAGAGTTTCCCTAAACCTTAACCTGAAAGGGGCCTCCACAAAAGGCACCCACATGCTATCAAGTCGCCCCTGATGGATCCAATCGCAAGGAATACATGCAGAGTCAGCTGGGAAAGTGCCAAAGCTGGGAACTGGCCACTCTTTTGTCGTGAAAGGAAAAAACCGAAGGTATCCGACTGGGTCGAGGAATGTGATTTTGGTTTTTGCAAGGGCTCAAAAATAGATTCAGGTGTCCCCAAAGCCATGTTAATTATATCCATCAAGGTGGACACTCTATGATGACGCAATCACACGAAAGCGAGTTTGGCTTTGTTCAAACAGCAGCGCGGCTTGTTTGTTGAACCAAATTCCCGGCTGCGCTCTTCGGGCGTGGCGCGGCAAGTTCCTGAAGCCCAATTTTTCGAGCGGCAGCGGCTTGGTTTTTACGAAGCCCACAAGCCGTCATAGTTTTGGGCTTGTTTCTTGGGGTGGTCAGGGAGAGTTTCAAAATGGTAAAAAAAAGGTGGCTCCCAGCCATCCGGCTCCTTAGCTTTTTAGCTTTTTAGTTTTCAGTGTGGATTTCTATTTAGCCCACTAAAAGTTGAACTTTTAGCGGGGGATCTCAGCCCAGGTAGTAATCCACCCCTCCCCATTCAGGAGACCCTGAACGGGCTTGCGCCGAAACTTTGAAGCCGAGAAAAGCCCTAATGTTTCCATGATTGAAAGAAAATCCCTTCACAAGATTCAAGATAAACGGGTTCCAGCTAGCACCAAGGAGAATCACGTGCGTAGCATCCAGAACCCATTTATTGGAACCCATTCAACCGGTCACCCAACGACTGGCTGTTTTTGCAGAAGGTCATTTTGGGGAGGATCGGTGACGCTTAAATCTCAGTTTCGGATTTTCTTGTTTGCAGGAACATGTCATAACTAAAGATTGTATCATCAGACCCCAGGAACATACTCCTTAAGGATAAGCCACAGATTATGCCTAAATAGGGCTTAACTGTCATGTTTCTTCCTTGGGGCTTGGTCTGGGGGGTCGGTGCGGGAGTCTTTGACATAATTCTCACTAGTCCTCATGTGGACGGTGGATTCAGAGAAGGAGCCCGGTTGTGTCGGCGAAGGTTAAACGCACAACGAGGCTGACGCCAACCCAGCGATCGCTGATCAATATGGCTGTCCATTCAAAATGGTGGTTTTCATTGTTTTCCGTCAAACCAAGCCCAAAAAGGGGTAGCGCGGACCTGACGACGCTTTACCTGACAGTCAGTAAACATATTGCCCTTAGGTGGGGACTTTTGGTCAAAACCCCCCAGCAAAAGCCCTGCAATACTGTTTAAGCGGTTCTCGTGCAGCTTTTGGTGTGTCATGCCTTTTGGTGGTTTGGATTGGTGGTTTGGCTTTGAACGGGTCTCTAGTTCTTGTTGGCAAAATGGCAAACCACCAAACCACCAACCCAAACCACTTGGGGAGCTGAAACTCGAATATGAAGGCAGCAACGGCTCGAGGTTGCTGGTTGTTGGGCAACCCCGACATGAACCCACATGTTGGGCAACGGGTGTGCCTTTCCGTTACCTTTATTTGTGTGTTTTTGAAGGGAAACCAAAATCAAAAGGCAGCAAGCCATTTTGGGGGGTTCGATTCCTAAAAAAGACGCACCCAGCTCTGTGCCAAGGGGGAGAAAACCTTCCCGATTTTCGTGGGTTTTCCGCGCCGCAGGAGCCGACGGACAGCCGCGAGTGTGAGGAGCCTGCTGAATAGGGGCGCTTTCGGCTGGTCGGCAAGGTGTTTTTTTTGGTCACTTCAATGTCCGTACGGACCCTTTGGGTCTGAATTTTGGTTGGTTTGGGTCTGAATTTTAGTTGTGGATGGACCCTGTGGACATCATTTGGGTGGGGATCCATGTCCACCAACTTCGGAGGGGGTTCCCTATTAAAATTCATAGCCATTTGTACAAGTGCTTTCGGGGCCCCTCAAGGGTGGCGTTGCCTTACCTTGGGATTGCCTTGGGCTTGCCTTGGCTCGCCTCAAAAGATGCGGGTCCGTTTACGAGCGATGCTGTGTATCCCAGCATATCAGGCGTGGAACGATTGAACATTCAGATGAGAAAACTCTTGGCTTGGCGGTTCCATCCATTTAACCCACTAAAAGTTATTCACTTTTACAGGGAATCAGTTTGGACAGCCCAGATGGGCGCATCCTCTTGAAGGAGTCTTGGCAAGCACATGATAGGGATAAAACACATGTCTGGAACACTGGCTTCACTGTCTCCTGGCCTGTCATCTCTAGTCACCAGCTTGTAAATTGTAAATGGTTTTTTGACAATGAATACATTGTAGTGCTGGTGAACATTGATGATAACATAGAAGTCAGACGACAAGAGGACATTGGTTGGCAGAAGAGATCACGAGATGCTGTACTTGTCCTTTTCGATGTTTCTCTCACAGTTCCGTATCTCCCCTCTCTTTTTGTTTCGTCGAGAGTGTCGCTGAGAGAAACAACGCAGTTTGCACGATTCACTCCTTGGCAGTCAATGGTCAATCATTCTTCGTAACAGACCATGTGTGAACTAAACTCCTTGACATCCAAGAAGCCTTCACAGCATGATTTTCTGACATAGTTTAATCCGTCTCTCCAGTTCATCCTGTTGAATGTTTTGCCGGCAAGGGGCTAGCAGCTGTACAAACAATCAATTGTATTTCCCCGCCACCATGAACTGACATGAATCTCTGAGCGTCACCTGGATTGCCATCTCTCCATTTTTTGGGGTGGCTCGTCGCCTGGGTTTGGTGGAAAATTGAGTGAGTGAGTCCCCTCATGCAGTCTACCATAAGGGCCTGAACAATTAGAATGGGTTTTTTTACACGTGCCAAAACAAAGGGAGCGCTTGGCTTGGACTTCTGCACGGCGGTTTGATCGCTGATTTTGGGTCAGGAGACTGAGAGCGAAGATGCGGAGCCGCTCGAGGAGTGCATCTCTTTGGGTTGCCAATTCAACGCGACCTCACGCAAACCGGGACCTCGTCGACGTCACCCGTCACGAAAGCTTTCTTTTGTCAATCTCACTTGCCCGAGCCGACCTTTTGACCTTTTGCTCTTCTTTTTTTTCCGATGGATCAATTTTCATTTTTAGCCATGGCCCCAAAAGGTGAATTGGTCCTTTGGGCAACTGAGAAATAGGGTTCCCTAACTTTGGATTGGTGAATTATACTAGTCCCAGAGACAAATTGTTAGCTGCATGGCTGTCATATCGCTTTGATTTCTTGAAAGGTGTGTAAAGGGAAGCTTAAAGGAGACCATCAAATGCTTGGCATCAAGGTTGCCTTTGATGCAGAAGACGAGTGGACCGGCATCAAGGTTGCCTCCGATGTTGGAGTGGGTGGTTCGGGAGGGGGGATTTCGACCCCTGAAGATCTCCGTTTATGGTTTCATTTTCCCTTTTATAGGGAATACTGGATAAATAGAATTAGAGACCCCCCCCCTTCTCCCTCCCCTTAAGGTAGGGGGCATGCTTATCGTTGGTTTCCCTTTAGACCCTGCCCCAAAATGGGTACCGAGACTCAGAAAACAGACACTCAGCTTGGTTCCCAGCCATCCGGTTCCTTAGCCTTTTCGTTGTTTTCGTTGGTTTCCTTAGCTTTTTAGTTGTTTTGGTCGGTTTAGTCAGCGGTTGGGTTTCCGCATGTCGCAACCACAAAGTATGTCTCCCAGCAGCTCCGAAAAATCGACCGCCCAGTCAGATCAGACTTCTCCGAGACCGATCTTCACCTGAGCCACAATCAAAACGCTGGTACATGAAGGTTGGTAAGGGACCATCCCAACCATAAATAGCTGCGGCCGCCTTCTTAATTCCTTACATGGTTCTGGGTAGACCATTTTAGTACCTGATTTTGATTGTGACTCACCTGGCCGCCATGGCCTTCGCGTGTTTTTGGGGGGCATTGAAGCCACGTGTGTTGCTGACAGGAGAGGCAAGCTGGTCAAGACGCCAAGGACGCGGGAGGATTTCTTGTCGCTTCCTCGGAGTTTTCCAAAAAAAAGAGTTTGTGTCTTAGACTACACCTACGAAACAGAACCTCCAATCGAGTTTATATGTCGTTCTCCTCTAAAGCCTATTGTTTATTTGGACTCAATAAGAAACACAATTTGACGATCATGACTTTTTAGACGTGCACCTCACGTGGGCAGTCGTGGGTTTGGGAAAAGCGATTTGCATTTTGAGTGGAGATCTGAAGCCAGGCGCAGCCACTCGTCGAGCGTCCTTTTCGGCAATGAGAATGCTCGTCTTGTGTCAGGAATCGGACCCCCTGCAACATGATTCTCGGTGTTCCATGGTGTTCCTTTTGCTTGCCCTTGAAACCCCCCTAGAAAAACAGGCACCCTCCAACATAGAGAGACCCATTGCGACTTTTAAGCAGGATAGGGCGGTGTCAAACACAAGTTGGCCTGGGATCCCATGGCACTTGAGCCTGGCCGGCCTGAGACGCGAGATATGATGCAAGGGAGTCGAGTGGCGGGGGGGAGGGGCCTTTTGTAGGAATCCCGACCCCAAAAGTCGAAAAATGGCGCAACGGTTTTCCCTTTGGCCGGGCCCTTGACCACAACTTTGAATCCACCCAACAAAAACTAGGTGCTACGGAGCTTGAAAAGAGACACCCGATGGTGTTCAATGGTTGCCAGGATCCCCTAAGAAATGACAAGCTCATCTATGAGCTCCGCCCGGAATTCACTTTGCACTGTTGGAGGTAGCCACGGGACCGTTTCAATGCTTTTTTCCATGGACCCTTTGGCATTCTGGTGCTCAGCAGGGAATGAACCCAAAAACTACCTTAAAGGAAACCACCAGTTGGATGATTTATGGGGTCCATTTCATTGCTCATTCGCATCTGTCGCACCACCTGGAGTCTCCAGGACTCTTTAAGAATAGGTCCATGACCCCATTATTTAGGGGAATGAGACTCTAGGCAGTTAGTGTTGGCTTTGGCTTCAACCGGTGCCTGAGGACCCAGCGGTCAACGCTGCCCCTTCAGAGCAGACTGCTCAGGAAAGTCGCTGGCAGGACGGTGCGAAAGACCACCGCTAGGCATTGACAGCGGGACGAGAGCACTCGAAGGCATGTGTAACAAGGTCCCCCAGTAATGTGGACCCCATATGAATCAACCCCTGTTTTGCTTTCCTGTTTTTTTTTGGGGGGGTGCCTTTCCCTAGGTCTCCCAGCTAGGTGCCCGACCTCTCACCCCTTTTTGGGTTGGGATTTTTGGTTCCCCTACTAAACTAGACTACAGAAAAAGTTGGTACCCTTATTGTAACCTCTCAAATCTGGAGGACCTAGGCAATAAGATGTGCCATGCTGTTTGTTGTGCTGTGTACGAGACTTACACATTCGTGTACGCACGTGTTGAACGTGTGTATACGTGTATGTATATATATATATATACTAGCAGTACAGTTTACATAGTACAATCTGCACCTGCGCAGGACCGCCTGCAGGAGCTGTTTGCAAAGGAGCGTTTGCAGGTGCGGGGAGGGTTTTGCGGGCTGTACTTTGCAACAGGGCAACACATAATTTCTGTTTTGGCGGATTTAAGCGTCACTGTTCGGGCCTATTGACAGATGTTCAAGTCAGAATCAATTTTTTAAGAACTCATTTCCAGAGGCCCAGCATTCATTTCTGGCATCTCCTGAAGGGGAAACTTGTTTCCAGAGTCGTAGACCTGAGATTTATAACCACAGCTTTGTGCCCAAAGCGCGCGCCGACGGTCAATTCAAAGCGCCAGTTCACATTTTTGGACCGTGATTTGGCTGTCCTTTTTTTGGGGGGAACCCCGTTTGGTTGGTTCGAACGTTGGAAACCTACAGGAAACTAGTCATTTGGTTGCCCCTATTTCAACACCCATTTGAGACGCCGCTCTTGACTTCTCAGTTCCTGGGCTCTGGAGTCACTTTGGGTTGGACAGTTTTAGCACAAAGTTTGGGGGACTTTTTTTAGGGACCATCCGAGTGGATCGTAAGTGAGAGGTTTGGAGATCAAGTTGTTTGGGCTCTGGTTTGCAAATGGGTGTGAATTTGAACGGGTTCGGGATTCGAACATGGTGGACATCCAACTTCGGTCCCTGTTGAGATTCATAGCCACATGTGTGAGTCTGTTTAAGGGGACAGAGACAAATGGTGGTGTTCCTTTTGGTTTCCCTTTCCAACGGCAAAAATAAGGAAAAGACACCCAAATGAGTCTGAGACCCCCTAGTCCCCTAATTTTGCTTACGGCTAAATTAGGGGATTCCTATGGTTTCAAAAGGATGTTTGGAACCCGACGAGTTGCGTTGTCTGCCGCTGGGTTCTCAATGGTTGAAACGAGGTCTTGTGGTTGCAACTGAGTGGCTGCATATGCGCTCTTGGTGGCTTCAAGCTACCAATGTAACCCAGCGTCTATTTTTGGGGAACCCTTTTTGGTGGTTTTAAGGGAGCACCGCATGTTGTGGGTTCCCGCGTTTCAAGACACACCCAGATGTACAAATATTTCTGTCACGGGCTTCAGGTGTTGGGCTCAAGCTGCTTGCTGGCATTTGCATATATGAAAAAAACATGTATGCACATATACATACATACAGTCATATACATATTGTATATATGTGCATGTATATATATATTATATATATATATATGCGTACCGGTTTGTCTCAAAATAGCCCCCCAAAAAAAACAAAAAAAAGACAAAATAAAAAGAACATAAAGAAAGAGCAAACCACTCTCTTGAACACCTCC